AGAAGAAGAAGTGGTAGAAGCAGAAGAAATCATAAATGTATCTTCTTATCTAATATAAATTTATTAGTCCATAAAATCGTTCGCTGTTCGCAATAATGAAAACCGCCAATCCGACACACGGCTATGTCTCTTTCTCCGTGCGTTTTCGGTTTTAGTGCGAGAATGTGGCACCAACTTGTAACAAAAACCGCCATCGTTTTCGCAGTGTATCATTCTTTGAAATGCTCGAACGACGACTACGACGATGATGGCGGTGGCAGTGGTGGCGGCAATGATATATTCATCGTTCCAAGCATATTTCAGCGTGCAAAAACTCTCTTTCTCGTAGAGCAGCCGAAGTAGCAGCGGTTGCAACACATTGTAATACATTTTAGCCAAAATCAAAATGAAAACAACTTGAATTGGTAGTTGGTGATGTGCGTGCGTGCTCACGCGCACAATCCAAAAATTGCTGCTATACTCCCATACATATTAAAGCTCATTTAAATGAATAAAAACCGCTTATTCGTATCATTCGTTGTTTTGCTTGATTGTTGTGTGTCTGCGTGCGTTTATTCGTTCGTTCGTTCGTTTTCTTGTAGCGAAATGCTTTGCGTTCAGCAACATCAGCATGGGCTGCTGCTGCTGTTACATTACAATTGACATAGGCAGGCATCCAGGTGAGCATTCCCTTTTCGGCCGATTGCCATCATGCATGCTTAATATCAACGAAATTACTCGCCTCAACACAATTCAACTCAACGCTCGCACTGCGCGATCTCGCACTCTCGTTCACATAGATTGCCAAACAGTTAAACATTTTGGCAGCGAGAGCACGTTTCAATTTCGTTTCGTTCTTCGTCCTTTTGCAACTGATTCATTTTCCACTTCCTGCCTGCCGCCACAGCGCGCACTCTCTCCGCTTTGCCCCGCATCCCCCTCGCATTCGGACAATAGAGACACAAAGTTAGTAGTTGCTGTCATATTGCACATTTTTGCGCGCTCCTGAGAACATTACCAACAGCATTCGCACACTGATATATATACACACACAATCACATCAAGCGTCATGGAGACGAACGACAGCTCGATGGTTTGTTTTCGCTTCCTGTGTTTCGAATACGCATAAACATGGAGTCTTGAAACGGATCTGTGATGCATGTGTATATGTGTGCGCGGGTGGGTATGTGTGCCTATGTGCTACACCACTGATAACAACAACAAGACAAAAAATATACGACTAAAGCTCAAACTCAAACAGCGAACCCCTACAACACACAACCAATCTCTCTCTCGCGCGCGCTCACTCGCTCGTTCGCTTACAACTTTGTACCCCATATTTATTATCAGCACGAAAATGATTTTTGGGATGCTTACAACCATCCAGTTACCGTAATACCATCGACTCAGTCGCACATCGATTCTCCGAACGAACGCGTCCCCTCGAAATAGAAACGACGATACATACCACCGAAACCGAACTCCGTGCCAAAAACAAGCAAGAAGAAAAAATGTGATTCAATTTTTATTTTCACAACATTTTTCCAAACCAAGTTTTCTATTCCCTACACAAAACCAAAGAAAAAAAAACGAAAACGAAGAAGACTGTGAGCAATATTCTTATTTTATTTTCTGATTCGGATATTTCACGTGAAGCAATTGGATTGGTTCGTTTGAAGAAAATTATTTTCGGTGAGTTACAAGAATATAAAAGCGTTTGTTTGTGAGCGTGTGGCCAAAACATTTTTTCTTTGTTGGAAAATCGGAAATTTGTTCCTTTTTCTACTCTTTCTTTCGATAAACTGTTAAGCTCAAACGGGATTCTTTCTGAAGCTTTTGAAGAGCGAATAAAACGAAATGAGTCCCGAGAGCTTTAAATCAGTTTCAAAACAAGTGACAAAGTTATCACTCACCTTCTTCATTCATTCCATTCAACATCAACAACAACAAAAAGAAATTATTTGAGCGTCAGCTTTTTTGGCTCCTTTGACAACTTCAATTTTCACTTCTATTTTTCTTTCGTTGCTTGTACTTTCACCTTACACTTGTTTGAATTTCGTGATGTATTTGTGTGCGTGTGTTTGAATGTGAGCTTTTGTGTCGTGTGTTTATGAACAAAGTTGATTGAGCTTAATATCAGCAATGCGTCGCGTGCGTAAAAAAATATTTTAGGCACTTATTCGCTTGTTTGAAAACAAACAAAAATGATAATGAATGTGTGTGCATGTTTCTTAAAATGGTTCTCTTCGGCAGCTTGTAGAAAACTGAGATGTGTCTAGCGTTTGCCGACGGGTATTGTTTCAAAACTACGGAAAAAAGCGGCAACGATAATCAATAAAAAGAATTGTTGGTGAGGAGTGAGCATAAAGGAGAGAAAGAGAGGGTGGAAGAGAGAATCTGTGTGAGTGAAGCACAAAATCCATCGAACGAGCAATCGACCGACCGACCGAGAGAAAAAGGAATATTAACGGTGAACGTGTAACGTGTAACGTGTAACGTGAAGCAAAATAAAAGGCAGCAGCCATGGCAACGCCTCCTGATAGTCCAATTGAAGAGGAAGTCGTTCTGTTCGAACTAGAACCATCAGCCCGAACACCCAAACCAATCCCTGTTGCCTTAGAAGATCTGTGTCGGCTTACCAAATTCACACGTCAAGAAATTCGAGTGATGTACCGCGGATTCAAAACGGTAGCGCACCATTTTCTTACATCTTATTCAGAAGTTTTCTATTTGGTGTGCATTTCGGTGTTGTTTTTTCTTCATTTCGTTCATTCATTCGTTCCTACATTTTGGTCTTGAACATTTGTTCGTCTACACTTTTGTTTCGTACAATTCAACGAAAAGCATTTATTCTATCACCTCCATTATCGTGGCGTGAAGCGCGTGAGAAAGGAAAGAAGAAAAAAAACAAAATAACACACCAAATGGTTCGTTATTCATTGATTTTTCATTTAGGAATGTCCGGAAGGTATTGTACACGAAGACTGTTTCAAAGATATTTATGCGAAATTCTTCCCACATGGAAGTAAGTATTGTGTGTTACTTCATTCGGTTGTTCACAGCAATCTGCTTCTCCGTCCGACGAAAATAATATAGTACCCATATAAAAACGCATTCTCTCATTCTTGTCAATTATTTAGATTCAAGTATTTATGCACATTACGTGTTCAGAGCATTCGATGTGAACAGCAATGGCGCCATCAGCTTCCGAGTAAGTGAACCCCCGTTCGCTAGTTGTTATTTTTTTTCGCAATCTCTATCTGTCTCAATCGCACTGGTTTTTGTTGTTGTTGTTGTTGTTGTTGTTATTAGTGTAGCAATTCAATTCAATTTGTCATTGTTTGATTTCGTGTTCGTTTTATTTTCTCTTTCTTTGTGTGAATTTCGAATGCAGGATTTGCTCGTGACATTGTCAACACTATTGCGTGGTTCAGTGTACGAACGGCTTCGTTGGACATTTAAATTGTATGACATCAACGGTGATGGGTGCATTGGACGCAACGAACTAGGCAAATTGATTTATGCCGTTCATGAATTGATGGGACGCCGACCGCATCAGCCCGATGACGATCGAAAAGCCCGCGAACAGGTACGACACACGAAGACCAAAGAGAATGAGAGAAGTGCACAGAACAAAACAAAAATCGAAAGTGCTTATCACATGATTTATCAATATCGAATCGAATTTCACGCTTTTTTCTCATTTTGGCGCTGTTCTCTCTCTCTCTCTCTCTCTCTCCCTATCACTCACTTTTTATTCCCATTGACGATGTTTATCATATTAATTAAGAAATTAATATGCACCTTTAACTGGGTCAATTTTCATTTCGGTATTCTTTTTCTGTTCGTTCACTTTTTTGTTGTAAATTTTCCACTCGCTTTGAATTGCCTATACAAGGATTTATTTCAAAATTGAACTTTTCTTTCGCATGTTGTCTCAACGGGTTTGCTCATATTTCCCTTTTTTCCACTTCTTCATTTTTGTTACGGATTCATTTTTAAAGTACGTCGCAGAGAGACAAACTTACATGTTTCCCTCATTTTCCGAATTTCCCCGAATTTTAACTCGATTCTATTTTTATCACGGCACTTTATTTTCGGTTTCATCATTTGTACCATTGTTTTTCTAACATTTTCCCATATTTCAATTTTCATATCATCAGACAAAATTTTTACCATCAAATTAATTAAAATCTCATGTTTTTGTTGGTGTTCTTGCAGGTGGATCGAATCTTTCGTAAATATGATTTAAATCAGGACGGCGTCATAACATTGGAGGAATTTTTAGAGGCATGCTTAAAAGACAGTGTCATCATTGATTCCATTCAGATGTTCGATAAGGATTTTTAGATAAAACAAGAGAACAAAACCAAAATTTTGTCCGTGTGTTCAAGTCAACGTCAGCGTGTAACGCCTTCAAATATCGCCGTTTGAAGTTTTAGTGGTTGCGTTGTCAATAGCAACAACACCAACGAGTTGTAAGACTCTTATGTTTTTCGAAGAGTTGAAACATAACCAGGAAGCAAAAAGAGAGAACAATTCATAAAATACCGAAAAAAATACGCGCAGCGCAGATAACATCACAACACAACACAGTACTCAAAGTTGAAGTATTTTTTAAACGGTTAATTTTAAGTAATAAGGAAGTCATTTGAGCAATATAATGAAAGAAAAAAAACAAGAAAGAATGAAAAAGAGTGAAGGAATATAAATAGCCGGAATAAGATGAAAAAAAAACAAAGCCGATGTTGTTCACATGACAATGTGTTGTTTAGTAGAGCGAACGCGCGCGACTATGAATTCATTAAAAGCTAATTAAATCGTTAATGACTGCAAGTGACACGTATTAGGCCTAAATGAAGATGCGCCTACCTTGTTATAATCATATAGTCTGTTGTTTTATCAAAGAGGCAGAAAAAAAGCAGAGAAGCGAATAACAAAGGGGAGCGAATCATTAAAAAAAAGAAAGAAAGAAACTGAATAGTAGAGTAAATAATTGTGAGAGTTTAAGCAATCTTCGTCATAAATTTAAACAACGTATTAATTAAATGAAATTGTATCTATCAAAACTAAAATCGATGTCAAAATTGATAAGAAGAAGAAGAACCAAAAGAGAAAAAACCTAACCAAATTCGACGTGAATAAATGTTCATTGTAGTTGTTAAGTGACGATGTAGCATAAGGATATACAAAATTCAGGAAAAATAAATAGACAATGTTTCGGAAAGAAGGACAAAACGAAAACTAAATAAAAAGAATTACATTGGTAATCCCGAACTTTTCCGTACCGTTGGCCTGCGTTGTCCGTAGGTACTTTTGGTTATTTTTTCTGAGGTTTCATTTTTTGGAGAAAAAATAAGATTCTGAAAGTTTCATCTTGATCGCATCTACAGAAGTTTGGTTTTTGGCCCTCAATTTTTTCCAAGAAAATTTCGACAAAAATTGAGGACAAAAAATAAATCAAACTTCTGCAAATGCGATCAACATGAAACTTTCAGAATCT